AAAATATAAAACCAATTCAGTATAGACAAGTGTTGGTCAAGTTATAAATATAAGATATTAAAATATCTAGTTTAAGCTTTAGTATCTATCATGTATAATATAGCATATCAGTATCATGCAATTATAATTGATTATAAGTTACAAATCACGATATATAAATACTGTATATCGTAAATTCTCGAAATAGGGGTATCCGCACGCTATTTTGCACTATTTCGAATATGTCTATGGGCGTTATTTCGAATATATCAGCAGATTTTTTGAATAGGGATGTTATGTAGTCCACAAAGGACTGGTTCAGACCGGGTCTAGGACCGAACTTTTAGAGCCGGTCCGAAACTAGTCCAGATAAAAGCGAGTCACGAATACCTTTGACATTTCACTTTCAAAACTATCTAGATTGTATACAGTATTAAACTGCTGATTATACCGGACTTTTTAAGAACCGGGCCTGAACGGACTCTTCAACTCCCTATTTTTGAACCCAGTCTTTTTCAAAATACATAATAGTGAGGTGCGCATTATTTCGGGACGCGCATGGGCGTTATTTTGAATCCACGTATGCTATTTTTAGGGGCGCGATCTTCAAAATAACGCCCATGTCCGCTATTTCGAGAATTTAATTTTCATTTCTTTTTTTGTTGACAATGCTTAATAAAAATTATTGTTTAACTATGCAATTGGACAACAAGTGGGCGTAGGTAAGCCGTAATCTGCAAATTTAATCAAAACACATCATGTGTGAAAAAAAGTTTCTAATTATGTATAGAGCTCACTGATTTCTTATTCGAATAATATTCGAATAACTTAAATAGCAAATATTTACTCGAATATTCGCTGAATAACTATATATTATTCGAATAATTCATTAGATAATTCTTTATTCGATTATTCGCCGAATATGAATATGAAACTCTAATTATGTATAAATCATTTTTTAATAATCAACCTGGATTCATCCGGGTATCTGATTTTAATAACGTGATGCCGACATAATGTTTTATCATCATGATGTTTTGGTTTTAAAACTGATTTTAATATATATATCGTAGCTAAAACCGATAAAAAAATGTTAAATAAAACTAGCGTCAAACCAAATTTTTTTACTTATTTCAATATGTCAATATTGATGATAATCCAATTGCCATTGGCGACATTGGTGATTGTTTAATTTCTTCTTAAATCAATAAAAAATCTAATTCTGATGATCATTCCTGAGTAGAAAATTATATCGAATTTATGAAATTAAGCTAAAATTCGGTTACCAAATCTAAGCCAATTTGAAATTTTAGTACTAAATTGTATATTAATAAATCAATGCTAAAGTTTTTTGAACCTCCGATCTAGATTGATAACGCGTCTAACTCATCTTTCCTACAGGCTAACCCATCTTTCTTACTTTTGATGCATATCATCAGACCTAGAAACTTATTATAATAGCGTACCTTAACTCGGAGATGATAGTTATTTTAGTTAAAAGTTAGTATGGTTGTATTAATAGTCAAAATTTTCTGATTTGGGGATATTTCATAATTTGCCGCAATGGATGAAAAAAAACCAATTCTATTCTATGCAAATATTGTTCTAAGCATTAGCAAAGAAAAGAATACTGATTGTAATAATGCATATTCGGAGTGACGAATCTTATATTATGAATAGAACAAGTTTTTTTTCAATTTTTAGCAGCTGCTCTACCTCGTTTAGTGCATCAGGAGTACGTCGAGTGTAACCTGAGTTTACATAAGGAGAGCATCTTCCTGCGATGTGAATACAAAGTAAAATTTCCAATTATATAATATAATTGGAAATTTTACTTTGTATTCGCAATACAGGAAGATGCTCTCCTTATGTAAACTTAGGTTACACTCGACGTACTCCTGACGCACTAAACGAGGTAGGGCAACTGTTAAAAATTGAAATAAAAATTGAAAAAAACCTGTACTATTATGAAATGAAATACTGTATTTTTATTTCTGTTTTTACTTCAACGAATTCTGTAACGTTTTATGGCTTCTAAAACAAAACTCAATATCGTAGATATACCAGTTCTTACTTTATCTTTTTAGTGAAATATCTGAATTATAATCTAAATCAATGTCAAGCAACGGTCATGAAAATATGGACTTCGAAGTATCAATATTGCGACGAGGTCTTAGGAATTGAGAACGACAATAATTGGCTTTAAAAAGACTATACAATAAATATTAAATACTTAGCTCATTGTTTTATCACATGTATATTAAGTTTTATCAGTTTATATTTTGATAGATTTCACGGTTTAGTCTAAGCTTCAAAATTATAAACAGTATTAACCTATTAAGTGGAAAGTTTGTATTTTTATCGAGTTTTTTCATGAGTATCCAGATATCTATGTGAGGTTTTTACTTACGGGTCTTATCCCTACCGCGAATCAAAATATTCTATTTACCAACACTGGTTATAACCTACGTGTGTTTGTAGCATAATCTTATATAAAAAACAATTTTTTTAAGCAAAATTGTGAATTATAGCAGTTTTTGAAATTTTCTAAGATTCGTATTATATAAACATTACAACTAATGCTATAATCTAACTAATCCAAAATTTTTTTTTATTACTGACACCAAATTGATTTACATGCGCATATATATAAGAAGTCATCATTAGGGCGCATTTTGTGTGCTTATCCAAGTCATAATATAATATGCAGATAAAATACACTCACTATTTTGTTAATTTAAGATTCGATCCAGGTAGAATCGTTATCTAAATATACTAAATTATGAAGGTCCGAAGTGAAGATCTCTATAGTATAAGTTTTTGTACATCACTGCAGTGTAACACGTAGACTGAATTCTATTGGTCCGAGCCACCTAACATTGTTATGGTCCTCGCTACGTTTCGGAAGATGATAATTTACCCAAAAAACCCTATTAATCTAACAATACTCGGATGAAGATTTTTCACCGGATTTTTCATATTTGGACATTTTATAATGTTGTTAACCCTATTATTTCTTTTATTATTTGATCATCATGTTCTTTTGTTCTTAAAATATGATAATATAAAAAGCGGAAATTTGGCATTTAGTAATTTTGTCTATTTTCTTGCCCGTGTACATCTAATCGAAGATATGATAAGCCTGTGACCAATAGAAACTGCAGAAAAGCGGCAAGCAAAAGTAAATTGGTAAATGTGGCTGTTTGCATTTAATAACAAAATATAGAAGTATTGGATTTTTTTATCAATCTTTAGAATAATTTATTCTGTGATACATTACGGCATAACTAAATTCATGGCCCCTGAGTAATAATCCATGATTAGCAGTCAATTTTAAAAAGTATGAACAATGACTTCATAAATTTAGAAGTAATTGAAACTGATTAGTAAAAAAATAGAAGTTCGATTCCCCATTGATTGGGTTTGTTAAGTTTACACTAAGTTCCTTAAAAATTCGGTTTTATTAGATGAACTAGACTTTCGATCAGACATCATGAAATTAAAACAATCAGATATGGTATGTATAATGAATTATATAATTATGGTTAGTGTTAAGGTTGGGCAAAGACTAAGTTATACTAAAATTTTGCAATGAATTTTTTTTGTTAGGACGCGATACTCTATATGGAAACTTGGATGTCTTACTATCTTAATGTGCAGTAACTGTGTAGTAACTATATAGTTACTATTAAATTTAATGGATTTAATGGTAACTCCATGGTTACTACATAATTACTATGTAATTGCTATGCATTAAGATATCTGGATTTCTGTATTGCTGGTTCTTTTTCGTAATTTTACATTACACTAGATCTGTTAATTTGATTAATAGGCGAATAGTGGTGTAACCTACTTGGTCCAATCAATTTATATAGTCTACTCAGAACTTGGGGAAAAAAATTAGAGTTTCCCCATTGATTACAGTGGGAATTATTAATGATTCAGAATTATTCAGATTTCCCAGTTCTTGCGCGGATGTGAAAATCCTAGTTAGTATATTCTGAAACAACCATATAAAAATAACAAACGTACCGTGTTGGATAAAATACTGACCTTACGTCAGAGTGAAGTAACCAATTTAATGTACTGATTTGTGGCATAACAGACTGAACCCATGATATTCTTAGATAATAAGAGATCGATAAATTTGTCACGCCTTCTTTCGGCTAAGCCACCCAAACGAAAGTGTACATATATGGAACTAAGAGGTATTCGTGATTTATTAGATGGTAATATATTAAAGATATCGATACATGATGGTTATAATGTACATTTCTGAATCAGGATTTTTAATGATATCCGGTTTACCCGGATTGATTACATAAAAATATAAAGGTTTGCATATCCATACATATTTGTATGTTAAACTCGGATCTACATGATTTTCCCTAATATGTAGAGGTAGGGTTTGGGTTACACGAATTTTTATTGGCTGTACTAAGTAAGTTGTTACAAATACATGTTGTTACAATAAATATAAAAATAAAAATATCGTGATAGTATGTACAAAACATGCGAATAGCCTTTATTATATAATTTGACAGTAAAATAAAATATTTTTCATGTATATTATACTACACGGAGATTACTTATGTATAATATACACATTCAAATGTATTTTTTACCAAATCTTCATGCAGAATTTTAAAATACTTTGTATGTGTATAAACAAAGAGACAAGATGCAGTATAAATGGACAAGTATCCATACATTATCATGATTATTAATAATCAACGGATCTTGCTTCTTATACTGCCCCACCAATACTGTGTAAAATTCTAAAGAAAAGTATACCATAATTATCGCTATTATAATAATTAACATTGTAATAGATTAAAGCTTATAGTACGCAAGTACATAGGTACGTACGTACAACATCAATTTCTTACAAATTCTATCAATCAATACATGACGCATTTAGGGATATAGCTAATAAACCAATAAGTACTTGCAATTGCGCCAAACATGTTTATAAATTTACAAAAATGTTAAACAAAAATATGTTAAAAATATGTTACATTATGAGTAGAGGTGCTGTCGAAATTAAAGAATTAAATTAATTTCACTATTATTGGTGATGTTAAATTAACGAAAATAGTGAAATTAATTTATCTATTTAATTTTACCCAAGCTCTAATTATGTGACAAAGAAAAAAAAAGAAAAATTTAGAAAAAAGAAAAATAAAGGAAAAAAGAAATATAAACAAGAAAAAAAAAAGTTCGCATAAAAAGTGAGATTCTCTAAATATATATATATTTATAAAAAGGAAATTAAGAGAAAACAATATCTATTTCACGTGACTATATTGTGGAGCAGTTTGAAATTGTTCGTACTCAACGAATTCCTGGTTTAAAAATTGGATTTGTAGACCGTTATCTTCATCGGTTATGAAAGGAGGAAAATTGTTATATACATAGCAATCAGAAATGTAATTTTGGTTATTTGGCATATTTGAAAGGTTTGGATTCCAAATGATTGGCCAATAAAAATCTTGTGCCCCCTCTAAGCTCTCTGGAAAGAGATCAAATGTGCCCAATTCACTTAATCCTGGTTGTGATTCAAATGATGATGATGCGGAAAATGAAGTTGGCAATGATGTTGGCAATGGTGGTGTTGGCAATGGTGTTGAAAATGATGTTGACAATGATGTTGACAATGATGTTGACAACGATGATGGAAGCGATGTTGAAAATTCTGGAGACAGTGAAGAGAATGTTTCAAAGGAAGGTAATTCTCCTAAAGAAGGGGTCAGAAACATTGATAAATCTAAAGAATTTGTGGGACTTGAACTAAGTGATGACGCTTCAGACTCAGATGATAGCAAAGAATTCGATAAACGCGAATCTTTATCTGAAGAAAGGTTACTAGTTCCAAGATAATTAGTTGTGCTAAACGCCGAAGTATTTTTATTTACAAAATCTTCAATTTTAGGTTTGGGCGAATATTGTTTAAAACTGTTGTTCCGTTTCTTCGGAGAAAACTTGTAATTTGGATACAACTCCTGATGACAACATTGACTTTGGAGAGACAAGCTCTATTACATTAAGATAAAAAATTAATAAAATAACACAAGTCGTTTGACATAATCAAAAGACTATGAAATATTTATAAATTGAAATTACTTCATAAGTCTTTTTTGCATATTGTGGAAGCTCCGCCCATATTTTCTTGGAATGGCGGCAAATTTCTGGCATAGTGAACCGATATCCAAGTTTCCTCAACTCCAGCATATAACAATTTTTCATAAGAAAAAATCCGTTAGGGGGTCTTGGAATATGTGTACCATCAAATTTTCGTTTTTTTGTTGAAATAAGCTCAGTTATATGGTATTGTGGGTTGTATATGTTCTGGAGATTCAATTCAGGTGGGATGCCCCTCATTGGTCGAGCATTCCGAGAAGATGATGACTTGTTCTTGTTATTAACCTTTGTAGAAATATCTTGAAAAGATTTGTTCATTTTGCCTTTGTAAATACTCGCGTTTTTAAAGTTAATACTTAAAGGTCAAGAGATTAATACTGCAATAATACTGTAATAAAGAATATAGAACAAAGTTAAGTGCTAAGTTTCTGACAGAATGAGTTCAACGTGTGTTTATATAAAGGTTTTTTTTTTTAAATAATAATAAATTGTATAACGTACTTGTATGCGCGTGGGCATCAGTTTCAGTCACACGTGCATATATTCACTTCACATAGAGAAAAAGAGTTCTGTAATATTATGTTTTTAGCAAGTGAGCCACATAGATCTAATAGAAGCCAGAGCTTATCAACAAACATGAAAGATCAATTCCTTATTCTAAAAATAGAACTAATTACTCCATCGAGAGGATCAAAACGTAAACTTTTTTCTTCTTCTTATGTCTAAAAATAGATCTTGAATTATTAAATCAATTGATCTTTATGCCAAACACGATTTGATATATTTAAGTGACAGGCTGGTCACATGATATTGGATTAAAGCGAATTAAAGGTGTACGGAAAAAAAATTACACGTGACCACCAAAAATGATCAAAATGTACAACGCAAATGTTTTGAAGATCATCCATTATTTAATAACCAAAAGGAGTTTATATTCCATTATACTTTTTTAGTAGTAAAATAGAAAATTATTTGTTCTACAACGAAGTCCAAGACGGAAATAGGTCATGATATGCGTCCGACTATGTAAATACTTGCAACAAAGAAACATATGAGGTTCGAGAATAACAAGTCTCGACTTTCACGTGATTTTGTTTATTACATAATTACTATTCAATGATAAGAAGAATATTCTCAAAGAATTCTATTTATTTATAGATTGTGTGTTTTCTAAAGCCATTTCTCTATTTGTCAACTCTAAAGAAAATATCCCTTTATAAGTATTTAATTTCGAAAATCTGGTTATCTTGTTACGCGTACAATAATAATAAAAATTAAGTCTTCCAAATTTTAATGATAATCTCTGAAAGATGCCTATTGTGTTTAATTTCTCATTGTTAAAATTGATTTTTTTGGTTATAATTTATTTTCTACGGAGAAGTGGAATTTTTCTTTTCGGAATTTCATTTGCTTGTTTATTTACATATAATTCAAGAATAATACTAGATTTTCTAACTATTGCATTAGCAAGATGCTCGCGTGTTATTATTACGAAAATTCGACAAAAAAGGTTCATTTCTTTGTTGGACTAAAAATATATTGCAGCATCTAAACTTGAAATCGACAAATTCAAGAGGCGATTCAAATATGATTTACAAACATCTTCTTAAAAAATCAAAAATCGAAATCTTTAATAGAAAAAAAAATTTCAAAGATAATCTTAAATTCTCATTGCATTATACCACTTATATGATAAATTTCTTAAACGTGAATCCCTGTAGAAAATTCCATAAAAAGAAATTTTGTTTGTGATCATATTTTAATATGTGAATAAGTGATCAACACTTTTATTAAGTATACAATAATAATAAATTTACGCCTTTAGGGAAAGTGTTATCAGGAAATTTCTGGTCATGTCACCAACATTCAAATGTT